TTCAGTACCTGGAACTTTGCAGAAAGCTTTCATTTTCAAGATCTCATTTCATTGTCAATTGAACTGTGAGGTTTAGATGTTCGAGTGTTATTACCATCTTTTTATAGGTGAATACTCAGAAGGGAGGTTGAGGAGGATTTAAGTGACTTCTTCAGTGCCTCACCCTGAAGGGGTCACAAGTCTCTCAGCTGGAGCTTCAGGGTATATGCAAATGGATGCTTTGGGCCCAGAAACCACTTCAGCCCTAATCAGGTTGATTAGATAGTTGATTAGTTCTCTCTTGGGTGTGATTTTTGCCCCTAAGAGATATTTAGCACCACTTGGAGACTTTTGGTGGCCTGTTTTGTTACTGTGTGTTATGAAGTTGGAACCAATCCATAGCTCCAATGGGTTTTCAGAGACAGTAAATCACAGGTGAGGAGATTGCCCATCCTTCCACCATGGAGAATTTGGTGGATTCAAACTGTGTGCCTTTAGGATTGCAGTGTAGCTTCTTATCACTAGGCCATCAAAGCTCCGTTTGGTGGCCTAGTGGTAAGGAATTGCACTGCCAACCTGAAACTGTGTGGTTTGAATCCGTCAGTTGCTTCCCTAAAGAAAGATGGACAGCCTCCTTCTATGAGCTTTACAGCCTCTTAAGCTCCTCTGGAAGGTCAGCTGTGAGTTTGTTCCATCTGATGGGTGGCATTCTCTAAGACCCACTCATCACTTCCACCTCAGTCCCCCCAGTGCCAGCTCATCTGGGTCAAAGGTGCTTGACTCCGGACCTGGGGATCTGGTGGGTTCTCTCCTGGACCCTCTCGTGACACCTTGCCTTCTTCGTAGCACTCTAGACAGCTCTCATTTGTGGAACACTTGTTGAAGCCTCCCACTCTTCAGGTAGGGCCGGCAGCCGGAGGAAGAAGAGAGCCAGAGTGTTGTTCTCATTTCCCTTTAGTGGTTATGTCTGCAGAACCTAAAGAGAAAGCCCTCAGAGACGAGGAGGTTTGCACGAGGTTGGGTATAAGTGAAATAACGTGCCTGCAAGAGAGCAGAGGGACCCCACATCTCAGGGAGGAATCACCCCCCAGAGACAGGCTCACACCTCTTTATTCAGTGGCTGGCATGATGGGCACACCCAGTGAAGTTAAAAACAAGTTCAGCCGAGAGCGGTGGTGACCAGTGGAACTTTTTGTGATGCAATTTCCATTTCCCTGATCTGTGGTGCTGGCAGAACTAGTGATAAAAACACATTAGTCAGAAGACCAAGTCAAGGTCTTGAAAACACAGCGATCTGAGTAAGTGACTTAAAAATAACGTTTGCCCAGTGCCTTCTAATCTGGTGGACCTCTCTCTGGGTAGCGTTCATGTCCCAGCATGGCGAGTGCAGGGCCTGAGCTGGGCAGAAAGCAGGCTGGGTTCTGTTCCATCTTCCTTTCTAGGAAGGGAGGCACCTTTGTAGCCAGAGTGGGGCTTTATCCTTGGGAATGCAGAAGTTCTCGTTTGCTACTTGGTCCCTGTTTCTAAAATGCCCTGTGAGGTAATTGAGAGAACACAAAAAACTAGGTCAGTCTATCTCCTCTTGTGGCTTCCTGAGAGGAAAAAAGTGACATGTTTTGTTTCCTGCATCCCTCCCTGGGATTTAGGTAGTTTGGAAGTGAGTCTGAGGAGACTGGAGCTTGGGAGGGCTGAGGGTGTGGTGCACTGGTGTCTGGCTGTTGCAGGAAGCTCTTTGGTGACCCTGGAATCTCCAGAGTCAGCGAACAATTTCTTCCCAGGGTTGTAAAGTTGCACTGCGCATGCACAGAGGTAAAAGAGCTCGCTTACCTGTGGACAGCTTGTCCTATGTTTGCCAACTCTCCTCTCCCTTAATGTCTGAAAAAGGATAGAAATGGAGCTGCCTTAACAGCCTTAAAAAGGAGAGTGATAGATATTTGAGCAACCAAGTCACTTTGTGAATAAACAACTTAGATTTCCGGTTTTACCCGAAATGGGTGCGTCTTCTTGAATAGTTAATTTATAATTATCAGCTAAGATGCTTTTGGATTGCTTACAAAGAGTACCACCACCATTAACCAGAGAGGAAGCATTGTAGGGATTCACAGATGAATATATCGGGGGAAATGAGATGAAGGAGTGCTCCAGAATCTTTTCTGATGGAATTTTCTTGATTAAAATCAGAATCCGTGGTAATTGAACCTTTTCAAGGCAGATGCCAGCGTCTGACAGATCTTCCTAACTCCTGTGTCTAGTGAATGAATAAATGCTTTTTTCTATAAGTGGATTCTGAGCCTTTCCAATCTAAATGAGATACTTTACGATGTAATATAGGTAAAGGCATTGAACAGCTTAAGAAAATAGTCTCCATACAGTAAAACTGGGCTGTTCATATTTAGAAAAGTCACCCTAGATGTCAGAGTATATTTTAAATTGTTCGGAGGAATTTCTTTTTCAGATGCAAGGTGTAGATCCTGAGAGCCTCTGAGAGGTTTTGCCCATCTCGTTCGGTCTGTCTTTCATCATTTCTGTCTGTCGTCCTGTGCGTATAAAAGCTATGATGTGGCACTGGGTAAACAGTGGAGCTTGTAACGCAACCTGTGAGCAAACACCATCACTACTGTTGAAGTTTACTGTCTTTGTGATGCAGCCTCCCATTCATCACTGCACGAGTGAGAGTGAAGTGTTGATTGTGGGCGGGACCATTGGTATCCAGAGGCTTTCACTGGCCGATTTTTGGACCAGAGTTGTTTTTGGTCTCGTAGCACCACTGAAGCCTGTTTAGCACCCTAGTGTCACCCAGGTCTGCCGCCAGATGCCTGCTGGATATGCATGCTGTGTACATGCTTGGGCCAGGACCGGCCCGGGTCCCATGTGCGGAGGCAGGAATTCCAGCACTGAGCCGCCAGTACCCCGTTCTTCTTTTTTTTCTTTTATTCTCATTTATTTATAAAGTTTGAATACATTGTTTTTTTACGAAAGTTCCTTCCCCTTTCCTTCACCCCCCCCATCGAATTGTGCAACCCTATGATTAACACTCTTAACCTCCCAACCCATCCACCAACCCTCTGTTTACACACACACACACACACACACACACACACACACATCCTTGTACTTCTTCTACAGTAATGGTTTTATACAGTATTTGTCCTTATGGGACCAAGTTAATTCACTCAGCATAATGCTCTCTAGTCCCTCCCAAGTTAGGTAGTTATTTACAAAATGATTGCTCCAGTGTGCTGCAAGGTATTTCATTGTGTCAGTGTACCACAACATCTCAGTCCATTTGTTCGTGGTTGGACATCTGGGCTGTTTCCATGTTCTTGCGATGGTGAATAAAGTCGTCTTTTTGATGACCCTGGCGATCATTTCTTGGGGGCTTGCCTTTGGGTCAGGCACTTTGCTTAAGCACTGAGAGAAAAGCTTAGGGAGGGAAGGACTTCATAGAGCACTGGGAAGTTAAGCCCTGGTCTGGGTCACCAAGCCCTTGTGTTTCTTGCTGCCACACGGCAAGGAGCGGAACCTTTGTAGGTTTATTTTTAGGAGAGCAGCACTGGGAGATTTGTATTTGAAAAAGAGAACTGTGGAAATCTTGAGGACTGAGTTACTTTAAGGGTGTCAAGGAGAAAAGGCAGGTGAGTCAGCCGCCCTGTGTGAGGTAGCAGGCTTAGAGGAATGGAGACCTTCTTGCAAAGCCCCTCTGTGCCCATTAGCCTTCATCTTTCTGCAGAACAAATGCTGAGTCAAAGGCTACCCACCTTGTGAGGTCCCTTGTTCCTTGGGGTACACTTGCTCCCTGACCATAAACAGGAAGGAGAAGTGGCTGTGTCCCCCTGTTTCTGAGAGCTTGGACACCTCCTGGCTGATGGTGGGGGGTGGTCTACCTTTGTCATGTACCCGTGTCCTGCTGTGCTTGGATTACCTGGTGAGGTATTGGAGCCTCTGCCTTCCTCTGCTCAGCTTTGGTTGAGAGTCGAGCCTGGAGCTACGCTTTAAATGAACTCCTCAGTTGAGCTCTGGTGGCCGACAAGAAGCTGCACTGTAATCCCAGAGGTGCACAGTTCAAATCCACCATATGCTCTGCTGGAGAAGGAGGAACAATGTCCTCCTGTACCAGTCAGATCTGATTTGATGGTACACACACACAACAAATAATAAAATAAAATAAAAATTTAAGAAAAAACCCCCAAAACTCCTTGGAAGGAGACTGGTGCGGGGGAACCCAGCCACACTTTTGAAACTAAAACCACACACAGCACAACAAAAACTGCCCAACTTCATTGCCATCGAGTAAGAACTAGCTCCTCGCTGACCCTCGGTGGGTTTCCAAGACTGTAAATTGCACAGGAGGAAACGGTCCATCTCTCTGCCATGGGGCCTCTGGTACATTTGAACCACCCGGGAGAGACGGCCTTTATGCGAGCAGTGTGGTTCACGATATTCTGTCTGGGGTCCCCCAGACCCTGAAAAGCTTCCTTTTAATGCTGCTCCCAGAAACTCAGCTCATTGTTTTTGAGCCGGAACCCACTCCCCGCCAACCGGCCAGTGGATTTCCGCCATGAACCAAACGGGAGCAGATGGCCTTTGTCCTCCTGAGGAGCCAATCGCTGGAGTCAAACCACCAAAGAGACACAGCCCTTGGGTTTGCAGGGCGGCCCCCATCGGTCGATTGCCTATACTCTAGGTTTACTGGAACTCAACTGGGTTACACTTTTCCTGCTGATGATAATCACAGAAAATACTGTTAGGTTATTTAAAATGTCGTTTTTTTTACCCACTCTGGTTTTAGGTTTTAAAAAGTAATTTTTCCTTTTTTTTTTTAAAATTTATTTTATTTTCATTATTTTTTTGTGTGCACCGTCAAATCAGATCTGACTTGTACAGGAGGAGATTGTTCCTCCTTCTCCAGCAGAGCATCTGGTGGATTTGAACCATGCACCTCTGAGACTGTAGTTGCAGCTTCTTGCCACTAGGCCACCAGAGGAAAAAAAAAGTAATTTTTCCTTTTTTTCTTTTTGTAGGATACTAAGTTATGGATAATAATGGAATACCTCGGTGGAGGCTCCGCACTAGATCTAGTAAGTATTACTCTGAATCTGGCACAAAGCATGTCTACCGTAAAGCTTGGTTTTAAAGTGAATTCTATATGTATCTCCTTCTCTTCCCCTCTTCCTTTTAAATAACATCAAAAAGGAACCAAATTCATCCTTATAACAGGTTTTGCTTCTAATCACTTACTAGGCACTCTGGTGGTGCGGCGGACTAAGCTGTCAGCTGCAATAAGTTTAGAGCTCAGGTCTACCAGCTGCTCAGGGGGAAAAAGTGTAGCACCCGGCTTCCGTGCTGACTGCAGCCCTGGGAGCCTTGTGGGCAGTTCTGCTCTGTCCTCTGGGGTCCATAATCATCTGGGTAACTCAGTAGCTCTGTGCTGGTTGGTGTTATGATTTCCTGCAAGTCTCGAGTCAGGAGCAGTGGTGTCAGTGTGAGGACTAAGTGCACCTGATTTAGGCCATGAGCGTTCAGTGGCTTTCTGTGCTTCTGAGAGCTGGGCAGTGAGTAAGGATAACTGAAGAATTGATGCTGGAGAAGAGCACAGAATATCTAACGGATGGCCAAAAGAAAAAATACAGGCCTTGGAAAAAGTGCAGCCAGAGAGCACCTTACAGGCAGAGCTGATGGAGCTTTGTCCCACATTCTTTAGACATGTTGTCAGAAGAAGGTATTCCTTGGAGAGGGAGGGACATCATGCTTGGAAAGATGGAAGGACAGTGAAGGAGGAGAAGACCCTCAACCAGGTGCTTTGACAGTGACTGCAGCAATGGGCCCAGATTGTGAGGTTGGCACAGGATAGGACAGGGTTCAGACCTGTTGTTCACCAAGTAGTGATAAGTCGTACTTGACTCGATGTCATCTAACAACAACAACAACAACAACAAAAACTGAAAAATATGCATCTGTCTTTAGAACAGTTTTTATTGTATCATGGAGAAATAAGTATCAGAAACCAGCAGATTTATTTGTAGAAACTGTAAAGGATTTTGCCTGCAATTAACCTTGACCCTGAACAATTTGTTAGCTGTTACCTCTTTTAACACTGATCTGATACCACACCATTTTGACCTATTTGAGATTGTATCTTCACTTCCCAAATAGGCAGGTGATAATTTCACTTCATGTAAAATTAGGAATCTTGAAAATTGACATTCGAGGACAACTTGGGAGATGGTTTCAAGAACATGTGACCACCACAGTCTGATTGTTGCAGTAGGATGAGATCGGGACAGGGAGGAACGCGCACTTGGCCTTGTGTGGATGTCCGAGCCGAGCCAGTGGTCACCAGCAGTGAGTTTATGATGGAGCGGGGCCTCTGCCTTCACTGCTGGTGTGGACCAGCCATCCACATACAGGGCCACACCGGCTAGAAAAGAGAGCTCTGGTGGGGTAGGTGGGGTGCTGAGGACTATTAAAGGAAAGGCTTGCTGTTGGAACCCACCCTGGAGGGTCTGCAGATCAAAAGACGTGGAGCTCCGCTGCAGAAAGGCTATAGTCTCGAGGCCTCTGTGGTGCAGCTCTGTCTATAATGTGTGGGGTCGCCCTGAGTCGGGGCCAGATGTTTGGCAGCAAATAGCAACAACGCAGAATCACTTTAAAGTCACAACAGAGATTCACACAGAGCCAGCTGTACAACCGTGGTGGCTTTTTCTTGGCTTTGATAGAACACTCCGAAGTAACCAGTATCTCATAAGCAATGCTTCAGGCATCCTTAAAACATACAGAAATACAAAATTAAAGGGGGAAAAAAATAAAGAGCTCACAGTTATTTACCACTTGACATCTCATTCCTGCTGAGGTTACACTGGCAGTAAAGTCTATACTCAGCACTGTTTCCCTTCCTCTCCTGGAGAAAGTGGGCTTTTTAGGTGAGTGGTCATGTCCATGTCAGGCTTAATCTATCATTTTAGTGTTAGAGGGTTGGTCTGTGTAATAGAGTATGTCAGGATGATGCACACACAGTTTTTCACTGCTGGTGCTCTGAAAGCTGAATGAAGCCCATTTCTTAGTGCTTATAATCTTTATGTATGTTATTCACTGAGGAAAGAAAGGATTTCCTCAGAACAAGGTTCAGATCTATTGTTCATAGGTTTGCTGTGAGTTGTACTCAACTTGACAGCACCCAGCAACTACAACAAAGGAAAGAAATACCTTTCGATTAAAGGGATGCCTCTTTTTCATAGTTAATGATTGGTAGTATTTTTTGGAAGGTAACTTATAACACTTAAGTATCCCAAAAGGCCATTAGGGTATTTGCCCCATTGAAAAAGTTGAGTGATTTCAGAAGCTGTAAAAGCCAAATTAATGTTCAAAAGGAAAAGGTAAAGAAAAAAGGTTTCACTTTAATGTGGTATAAACAAGATAAGGATATGAGAAAAACAGCTACGCGTCTAGGTAAATTTTACAATTTGTTTTTGATTCCATACTTTAAAAAAATTCAAATAGACCATGCAGGGAGTTTTTCAGGTCTTTAAATTCCTAATGGATACTACAGGGATGTGATAAATCACCTTCCTTTCATGTAATTAGATTTACTGTTGTCTTCAATGAGTTTCATTTTATTTGTGGCATACATTGAGTCTTTTTCCAACATCGGATTCTTCAGAGCAGCAGTTCTAGTTCACAAATACTTTCACTTATTCTTTCTTAGTCCCATAATAATGTCTTTGGTAGTAACTTTCTTTGGAGCTTTGGGTTGACGTTTCTCTGTCACATGCTGCTCTACGTAAGGAAAGCCAGTGGTTCAAATCCACGAGCTTCTTGGGACCAAGATGAGTAGTGTCTTCCCATAAAGATTAGTAGACTCAGAAATCCAACTAAGGGAGGGGTTGGGATGGAGAGGAAAATGTGCAACAATGAATGAGTGGAAATCCAGGTTCCTTATAAATTTTCATTAAAATCTTAAAAAAAAAACCCAACCCAAACAGAAAATCAAAATAAATAACTTCCTTTCTTTAAAAACAAAACAAAAAAACAACCCAAAACCAATCAACCCAACTAAGGGCTGACCTGACGGCAGTGGGTTTGACATATGTTAATATACTTAAATTTAAACAAACAAAATAATGCAGAATATGCTCTCTAAAGAGCTGAACAGAGTAATTTCTTTTAAAAAGTCTCACTTTTTACACAATGGAATACTATGCAGCAGCACGCAGGAGCAGTAACTTTGTAAGTTATTACTTGGGAGGGACTGGAGAGCATTATGCTGAGTGAACTAACTCAGTCCTACAAGGATAAATATTATATAAGACCGTTAATATAGAATGAGTATAAGGATCCAGGAGGAGTGGGGGAGGCTGGAAGCAGAGGGAGGTGGATGTGCAGGGGGAGGTAGGATTAATCATTGGGTTGTACAATTTGATGGTTGGGGGAAATGGAAAGAATTTGTTCAAATTTATATTTGAATTTTGTAAATAAACTAGTAGAGGGGGAAAAGTCTCACTTTTTCTTAACGGTGTGCACAAATGTTAACTCTGCTGAGATGCACAGGGCTGATAGTTTAGAAGTGCCAGGGCCAGTGGAAGGGAAAGATGCTGGCTTCTGTCTCCTTCAAGGACAGTGGTCTGCCATTGCATTGTGTATGAGGATTTTAACCTCCCCATTGTTTTATTCTCTAGATTCATCTGTTCTCTCTTTGTACTTGCTAATAAAAATTCTCTATAGATTATTCAGTACATTGTTGAGAAGATGCTATGAGAACTTGGGAAATTTTGAGGGAATATTGCTTCTGGAGAATAGCCATCTTGTTGTAGTTCTTAGCCATGAGCCATGTGTGTTAGATGGCTTGAATTGTAGTAAGTTACTACTATACATATACTTCATATAACATTTCACCTTTTCTAATCAGTGTTCTGATTATTAGGACTTTTCACTTAGACCAGGGAATGTTAGTTTGATTCCGGTCATTGAGTTTTAAGTGACAGGAGGGGATAGCCACTCATCTTCTTAGAGTATTGCTTTTTTAGTGTGTCTCATTATGCATTTGAATCTCTTTTTATGCTTTTGTTAATTGCTCTGCTTCCACCTACCTCTAGTATGTGATAACTTCAAGAGAATAGTGTAATTTAAGACTTTATGATCTAAAATGTATGAGATTTGTGTAACCCACTGAGTGATACCTTTTCTCACACAGTAGGTCCTCTTCTCACACAGTACGTTGTAGTTGGGACTTGCCGTGTGCCAGGCACTGCCCTACCCTCTGAGGCTGACTCTCTGCCCTCAGCGGGAGCTGACTCATTTCTCCGTAGGGTTTATGGGTCTGTAGCTTGCACCGGAAGAGACTGCCCATCTTTCTCCTTTGGAGCCACTGGTAGATTTGAACCTCCAGAGAAGCATGCTCTTTGGGTAGCTGTGTAACACCCTAAAGCCTAGGCCACCACTTGGCCAAACAGAGGACAGGCTTCACTCCTGGAGGTTGAGTCTGCTGGAGGCTGGTGGGCACTTCTGTCCTGTGCATAACATGTGTGCTGCAGAGAGGAGGGGGGCTGGACAGTTGGGGAAGGATTAGCAACACTACAGGGTGGCGTGAGACAGCAAGGCTTTTAGCTGATTAAAAGATCAGTCAGTGCTGCAGGAGGACTCAGGGACAGCCATGGAATCTAATTAAGAAGGAGCTGTGCTGTGTAAATTAGTCACTCAGTCAGGCAGAGATGTGTGACAGATTTAAAAATGAATAACCCAACAGGATTTTTAAAAAAGTTCAATCGTTAATTTATAACCCAGCTTGCCATCCTCTTGCTGTGCCCCATTGAGTCAGAACCAACTCACAGCTGCTCCTCCAACAGGTTGTCAGAGGCAGTTAATTGCATAGGAAGAGACTGCCCATCTTTCTCCTGCAGAGCACCTGGTGGATTCGAACTGTGTACCATTGAGTTGATAGTGTGATTCCTCATCACTAAGCAACTAGAACTCCTGTGTGCTGTCTTAGTGGCCTGCAGATCGGCTCACACAAGCTTATTTCTTTCTCATTAGCAAAGTCAGGAGCCCTGGGGGCGTGGTGCATAAAGTGTCAGGCGTCTAAATA